TGTCTCACTGCATCCCCATGTGTCTCAGCGTCCCCATGTTTCCTAGTGTCTCAGTGTCCTCCATGTGTCCCCTAGTGTCTCAGTGTTCCCATGTCTCCCTGCTGCCTTTCCCCCCATCCTTCACATACCTGAGCTGTAGTCTGTCTCTGCAGGCTGGGAGCTGCTGTCTGGACTCTCTGTGCTGTGTAGCTGCTCCCCCGCGGATCAGTGAGTAGAGAGAGGCAGGGAGATGCTGTAACTTCCTATCCCTGCCTCTTTCCACACAAAGTGACCCCTACTGGCTGGTATTGCATTGGTATTGCAAGAAAAATATTTGCATTTGTATTGTCGGTATTACTGCAATACTGTCACGGCCAGGCAGCCTCAAATACCGGCTGTGCCTTAAAATACCAGTCAGGTGGCAAACCTAAGGGTAGTGTGTAAAAAAATCTTTTTTTTTTAATTTTTTTTTTTTTTACATTTTTTTTTTTAAATGGGCCTATTCCATGGGCCTGGGCCTAGAGCTGCAGCTCCATCAGCCCTTTTGTTAATCCGGCCCTGTCTGTATTTACTGTATATGGATATTGTGATCAAATGCATATATTCTCTTTTACATTCTGTTACAATTTTTATTAAGTTGTGCTGCAAGTAAATCTTTCAGGATCATTACATCTTCAATTTGTAGGCTGCAGATGTTCAATTAGAATCATGGCATTTGATGCACTTGCAGTTGCCTCATCCACCCAATTGAACTAGCCATTCATAACATTTGGGTATATAAAGCATGTGTAAAATACAAAATAACCAAATGCAATTAATATAATTTAAATGTTATAAAGTTAGATCGTTAACGTGAAAGAACGTGAAAGAAAAATTGTGTATACAGGTGAAATGGAAGAATGTGAACACCTGTCAAGGATCGGTATAGGTATTGCGATCTCACAGAATATGAAGATAATGATGCAAGGCTTGAGATATTGAAGTCTTTGGATTATGGATTGTACTGAATTTTCTAAAATGTTCAAGCATCTCAATAAAGAGCTTAAGACATTGCTACAGAATTTGAGTATAAAACAGTTACTTTTGAATTAAGCACCAATGATTATTAGATACATTCCCAAAAAGAGATATTTCAACACATTGTGGTGTGTGATATGTAGCATTGTTTGATAAAATAAAAATGCATTTCTATAATGCTAATATTTTGTCAATAAAAAAGTGATTGGCAGTGAAAGGGTTAACCACAGAATTATAACTAATTCACTTATAATGAACTGCTAAGCTCTGGCTATAGTTATAGAGTTTTCTAAACCAGAATTGGTTTTCATAAGTTTTAAATTTGCTTTTAAATTGACTACAATCCAGTGTTTAGTAAACATTACTCTACTAAGATGTTTATTATATAAATTAATGGAAGGTTTATATATTATTATTATTATTATTATTATTATGCCAGGACAATTTAATTAAAATTGTATTGTAAGATTTGGATAACTGATCTCTGAAAGGAACTCGCCAAATTCATACAGAACTTCATATTGCTTAAAACCTTTAGGGGATAACAGAGTGTCCCTTCTTTCTTATTTTATAAAGTGCGGATTGCAAGGAAAATTTTGATTTGTATAAAGTTTTTGGGTTGCACCTTGCTTTGAGAGTGCTCTTCCACCACTGGTCATGGCAGAAGTGACTGTTTTTTATAGACAAGCATTGGTTTCTATATTTTTATGTGAGAAGCATTGCTGGTGCACCGGAATGATTGCTGTGAATGCACCCTCCTTCCTAATGTTTCTCTGTGATAAGCATTGGATTGGCTGGACAATCATCACTAGTGATGATATCTTGGCGGTAGAGGCAGCATCAAAACTACCGCCAATGCAGCCCTGAGCACACACACTGTTGGGGCCTATAGGCTGTCCAACACCCTTAGGGACACTTGACGGGCATTTCCAATATGAGGCCATGCCAGGTTGACTTGTCTCCCCCTCTCCGCAGTCTTCTCTGCTCCTTGGAGTAAACATGGCTTCTATCTGCCACCGGGATATGACATCATCCCAAAAGAGAGAAAGAGAAGGGGACTGACTCACTAAGTGCTGGTCAGATTGGCATGTCAGACGCTGCATGTAAATAATCCTGCACTGAAGGTAGCATTGAATTAAATATATGTGTGTGTGTATGGGTCACTGTGTGTGCGTATGGGTCACTGTGTGTGTGTACATGTAATTGAGTATGCGTATGGGTCCAGCGTCAGAACTATCACTGGTGTGGCTGCACTGGGGCCAGCACAATATTGGGGTCCAACGACTGTCTCTCACCCTAAGGGACGCTCGATGGGCATCTCTGATCAGGGGCCCTGCAAGGCACTGCAGCCCATTAACAGTGCGACCAGGTCCCTGTCAGATGGTGCTGGAAGCAAGTGAGTTCAGATCACTTCCTCCCAGGTTTCAGAGAGAGCCGCAAGGGAAAAGACTGGCAGAATGCAGGGAGAACGGAGGAGAGAGAGAAGCAGACTTCCAGCAGCCCCAAACCCTCATCAGCTTCAGCAAGCAGGACCAACTGGGAGTTAGGTAAGCCACACTCTTTCACCACTGGATTAGATGTAAGTAACCTCTTTTTTTTAGCTAGACAGGGGGGTGCTACACATCTACTTAGTGTAAACACTCCAAAACACACGAGTGATATAAATAATGGTGTGTATATATATATATATATATATATATATATATATATATATTACCATGCAGTGTTCCTTTAACTTCTCTTTCTACTTTTTGTATCATGTACTGCTCTGTGTATGTATTTTTTCAAATTGTAATTTACAAAACAAGTCACTATTTTTAGGAAAACACATTATGCAATTTTCTCTACTACATATAATTATAGCTGCATTCGACTCATACAGATTTCAGACATGCACAGATACAACAAACACTTTTTCACCTACCTTATTACAGTCGTATTTTCAAAGTATACTAGAAAGGAAATGATTCTAAGTGTGAAAATGTAAAAAAATAAAATACTCTTTTGAATGTGGGTGGCAACTGCCTTTGATGAATATGATTAAAAAGCTGCTGGTCACACAATGCAAAATCAGATTAGACACAGAAATGGTCACACAATGATTCTGTTGGTATCTATAAAAACATATTTAACCTGTTCGCTGCAGAGATTTTTCATTCCAGTTTTAGACTGTTTTGTCAATATTAGTAATGTCTGTGTTTTTATTTTATTCATCAGAGCATGATGTTGATAAAAAGCTGTTAAAACCTTTTATTTTTTAACAATGTGTTTATTTTTAATTTTTATTTCTAATAAAGTATGTTAGCTAATTCCTTCTTTAAACATCACCATACAAAAACTTTGTTTTTATAGTTCATATGATAGAACATTACCCTTTAGTATGAATTTTTTTATATGAAAGGATACAAAACAATAAAACACAAGAGAATGAGTAACAATTAGTGATGTCGCGAACATCAAATTTTCGGTTCGCGAATGGCGAACGCGAACTTCCGCAAATATTCGCGAACCGGGCGAACCGCCATAAGCTTGAATAGGCAGGTGGATTTTAAAACCCACAGGGACTCTTTCTGGCTACAATAGTGATGGAAAAGTTGTTTCAAGGGGACTAACACCTGGACTGTAGCATGCCGGATGGAGATCCATGGCAAAACTCCTATGGAAAATTACATAGTTGATGCAGAGTCTGGTTTTAATCCATAAAGGGCATAAATCACCTAACATTCCTAAATTGTTTGGAATAACGTGCTTTAAAACATCAGGCATGATGTTGTATCGATCAGGTAGTGTAAGGGTTACGCCCGCTTCACAGTGACAGACCAAACTCCCCGTTTAACGCACCGCAAACAACTGCAAACAGTCCATTTGCACAACCGCAAACTCCCCATTTGCACAAGGTTGGATACCAAGCTAGCCATGTCCCGTTCCTTGTCCTCACTGATGTCATTGAAGGTCTCTTCCTCCACCCAGCCACGTACAACACCAAGGGTCCCCAAAAGGTGACAACAAACCCCCTGGGACGCCTGCTGTGTTTGGTCTTCCACCTCCTCAAAGCCACCTTCCTCCTCTGACTCCTCTTCTTCAGACTTCTCTCTCTGCGTTGCCTCTCTCTGCATTATTATAAGGAGTGTTAAGTAGTACTATTCCTATCAGTTTAATCCCTGTTACGTTCCCTATCAGGAGACGTGTATATGGCATCGATTTTAGGAACCGGGAGATGGAAAAAAGATGCTTGGTCGGTCCTCCTACTTCAAATTTGGGGCACTGCGCGTGCAATCTAATGTACCACCAGATTGAAGTGGTGTGTTAAGTAGTACTATTCTTATCAGTTTAGTATAAATTTTTTCTTTATTAAAATAGTTTTTTTTTCCATTTTGTTGTCAAAAAGATATTCATACATACGTATACTTACATTTGTGGTTACCAATATAAATACAATGCTTAACACATACAGAATAGACATAATATACATTTAACAATACTTGGATGAAAGAAGAAAAAAAAACAAAAAAACGACCAATATCTTTGCATATATTAGAGAGAGAAAATGATTGGGTCAATTATAACGTTCTTTGATCTTAGATATCAGATTATCAAAGTAATGAATATACCTTCTATCATTATTAAAATATGCAACTCCTCTTTCCATTTCAAGCTGGAACAATAATTGAGTTATAAATTGTTTTCTATCAGGTATAACAGTTTGTTTCCAAGTTCTCGAAATTAATATCTTCACTGCAATAAAAGAATGGATGGTCAATATTAATTGATCTTTCGGGAGTCTATCCCACTTAAGATGGAGTAAACCTATTTGTGGGCATTTTTTTATTTTAATATTAAAAGACTCTAGAAAACTATATATTGAATCCCATAAGGTAGAGATTATTGAGCAACTCCACCAAATGTGTAACATTTCCCCATTATGCTTTTGGCATCTCCAACATAAGGAGGAATTGGCTGTAGATATTTTAGCTAATCTCGTTTGTACTAAGTACCACCTATGGAAAACTTTAAAAAAAGTTTCAATTAAATTTAAACAATGTATATGTTTTCTTATCAGTTTAATCCCTGTTACGTCCCCTATCAGGGGACGTGTATATGGCATTGATTTTAGGAACCGGGAGATGGAAAAAGATGCTTGGTCGGTACTCCTTCTTCAAATTTGGGGCACTGCGCGTGCAATCTAATGTGCCACCAGATAGGAGTGGTGTGTTAAGTAGTACTATTCTTATCAGTTTAATCCCTGTTACGTCCCCTATTAGGGGACATGTATATGGCATTGATTTTAGGAACCGGGAGATGGAAAAAGATGCTTGGTCGGTCCTCCTTCTTCAAATTTGGGGAACTGCGCGTGCAATCTAATGTGCCACCAGATAGGAGTGGTGTGTTAAGTAGTACTATTCTTATCAGTTTAATCCCTGTTACGTCCCTTATCAGGGGACGTGTATATGGCATCGATTTTAGGAACCGGGAGATGGAAAAAGATGCTTGGTCGGTCCTCCTTCTTCAAATTTGGGGAACTGCGCGTGCAATCTAATGTGCCACCAGATAGGAGTGGTGTGTTAAGTAGTACTATTCTTATCAGTTTAATCCCTGTTACGTCCCTTATCAGGGGGCGTGTATATGGCATCGATTTTAGGAACCGGGAGATGGAAAAAGATGCTTGGTCGGTCCTCCTACTTCAAATTTGGGGCACCGAGCGTGCAATCTAATGTGCCACCAGATATGAGTTGCACTGGTGTGACACTGTGCCCTGGCAGGCCCTGAAACGCACACGCGTGAAGGAAACTGACTGCTATTATATTACAGTCCAAAAAGGTTTTTTTTGTTAAATGCAAGCTTTTGTGACACCGGATATGAGTGGTGGCACTGGGCAAGTGTACACTACTGTTACACCAGATATGAGTTGCACTGGTGTGACACTGTGCCCTGGCAGGCCCTGAAACGCACACGCGTGAAGGAAACTGACTGCTATTATATTACAGTACAAAAAGTTTTGTTTTTTTTAAATGCAAGCTATTGGGACACCAGTGAGTGAGTGGTGGCACTGGGCAGGCCCTGAAACGCACACTCGTGAAGGAAACTGACTGCTAGTATATTACAGTCCAGAAAGGTTTTTTTTTGTTAAATGCAAGCTATTGTGACACCGGATATGAGTGGTGGCACTGGGCAAGTGGGCACAGTATACTCTGTGAGACTGACACACACGCTGGCAGACAACTAACTGCTATTCAATCTATTACAGTCAAATTTTTTTTTTTTTTTAAATGTACACTACTGTTACACCAGATATGAGTTGCACTGGTGTGACACTGTGCCCTGGCAGGCCCTGAAATGCACACGCGTGAAGGAAACTGACTGCTATTATATTACAGTCCAAAAGGTTTTGTTTTTGTTAAATGCAAGCTATTGTGACACCGGATATGAGTGGTGGCACTGGGCAAGTGGGCACAGTATACGCTGTGAGCCTGACACACACGCTGGCAGACAACTAACTGCAATTACATTACACAGAAAAAAAAAAGCAGACTGATGTTCTAGCCCTAAAAAGGGCTTTTTAGGGTGCTGTCCGTACAGCAGAGATCAGATGAGTCCTTCAGGACTGTAGTGGACACTGAATACACTAACCTAGCTATCAATTTCCCTATCAAATCAGCAGCAGCTACACTGTCCCTCCTCTCACTAAGAATGCAGCTTCACAATGAATGTAAAATTAATGCTGTCCAGGATGTGGGAGGGCCTGGGAGGGAGGGTCTGCTGCTGATTGGCTGGAATGTGTCTGCTGACTGTGAGGTACAGGGTCAAAGTTTACTCAATGATGACGAATAGGGGGCGGACCGAACAGCGCATATGTTCGCCATCCGTGGCGAACGCGAACAAGCGATGTTCGCCAGGAACTATTCGCTGGCAAACTGTCCAGACATCACTAGTAACAATAGAAAAATGGAAAGAGGAAGCTAAAAAAACTATTTTGGAGTATCATTTATAGAGAAAAAAAAATTATGCTACTGTAGGCAGAATTCAATACTTATAATTCTGTACTCAATGGCATGTATTTTTTATTTTTTATTTATTTTAACCAATACATTTTAATTTTAACATTAGAACAACTGAAAAGGTTATATGACAGTGCAAAAAGTATGTGAAGACATGACAAGTTTTTAAAAAAAATCAAGCAGTTCTATAGTTTGTTGGAAATTGTTATTGATGGATCTCATTTTACTCATTTTAAAAAATATTTTAATGTATGCAGTCAATTATTTTAGAATTGATACAATCCCCTGACCAATTGGTTGTCATAGTACCACTCACTGGCAATAGGGGACATTTATCTTTATATATAGTTGCCTCAAGTCTTTATATGGAGCAAATGAACAGTGGTGGAAGGTGAAGTTTCAAGAAAGTGGAGTGGTAGACTTTAACTCAGGAATTTGACTATGCCCCCTGACATGTTGGGCTCTGCATTAGCTGTCAGTCGTACAGGCTGTTGATTGGTGAACACCCCAGGGGCAGATCCGGTTGGGAAATATACAACCAAGAAACCAAGGCATGGCTTTCAAAGTCTCCCATTCTTTCCCCTGCTCGAGTAATGCAGGCATGAGAAAGGGCTTCATGGACAGCCTGGTAACAGGTGTAGTAGCCGTACCAGCAGGAATAATTATTTCCCCGTCCCTGGCCCAAAGTAAGTGTCAGGGAGGGGGAAATAAAGTTTAGTTTATTTTTCAGCCCTCATACAATCTATTCAAGTCCCTCTACCAACACCACAGGCCCATTCCCCTACTACACCCCCTACACTACAGATACTCTCAGCAAGGTTTTATTTCAGATAACCTATTGGAAGCTCCTAACAAGAGCTTCTGCTCTCACTGATAGAAGGGACCCAAATAAGAAGCCATATAGATGTATTGTAGTGATGCTTGGAGGGTTCCTTTAAATCCCTATGAATGATCTCTTCAACTCTGCACATGTGCTTCCCTGAAGGGAAATCCAACTGAGATGCCCATCTTGAGGGCACCTGAATGTAATTAGGGATGACACAACATGTCCCCTCTTTGGTCTTTCCATACTCAAATTGGGCTGCTTTGTTTTTTACTTCTTCACTGCTGTGTACTTTTTGATTGAAAAAAATATTAGCATTACATGTATTTGAAGCAATGGTCAAATACCTTGCTTGTAGATATTTGTAGGTACTAAGGTACTAACTAAGCAGCTTACTAAAATTGCCAACAGGGTTTAAAAATAACCTCTGCATTTGAGCTAATTGACCGCATACCATGAACACAGTTAAATCATATATTTCTAAAATAAAGCTATTTAAAACTGCTGTAGCAATTTATCAATTTTATTTTGATTTATGAATTAGTGGAATGTTAATTTAATGCTAGCAGTGAAATGGTAGAGTCCATTCACTCCTCCCTCTTCCCTGACTGTAGGATTGATATGACCTATTGAAACTTTCTGTACAGTTTGGAAGCAGGGGGTGAACTTTTCTTCAGCAAACCTTTGCAGGTATTACATGAACAACTAGGGCCAGAAGGCAAAGAAATATATTCTTTTACAGGCAGGTAACCTCTCTGGAATATAAAATATAAAATATTATTTAAAATATGAGGGTGATTGAGGCTTTATGGACTAGATTTCATTCAGCAAAATTCATGTAATACAAACCATTTATACTTGATTTAGGTAGTGAAAATGTTAAATCCCCAGGCATTGAATTTTGAAATTGAATTTTTGTCCCAGTCCAGTCATGACATTAAGGATGCTTGCATCACCACTTAAGTAATTTAAACAGTCCTTATTCAACAAATTGATTATAATGTGAAGGTATCTGCTTGTCACATTTACATATTTATTTTGCATACCATAAAATTTCATATGATGGTGTGTGACAGTCATGGCAGAAACATAAACTAACAGTTTAGCAGGAGTAAAAAACTAGCACTGCAACATCTGGCATAGGAGAAGGAATGTGATGACATGCATTACAAATTGTTATAGAGTTACAGGTAGAATTGTTGATTGTGCAGTACAAGAGGTATAGAGGAATCATTGTTAGTATAGCAAAGGCTGTATAATTGTTGATTGTGCAGTACAAGAGGTAAGAGTTCATTGTTAGTACAGCAAAAGCTGTAGTTGGTGGTGCTACAGAAGAGTCCACAGCTGGTTATACCACAGGATAAACTGGTGATGGTAAAAGTACAGGAAATGTGCCATATATATGTTATTTATTGATAGGAAATTACATAATCCTGGTAGGCCATTGCTTTCCTCTCTCCCTATCTTAAAGGATCACTATAGGGTCAGGAACAAACATGTATTCTTGACCCTATAGTGTTTAACCCACCATTTAGATGTCATACCCCCCTTAGCCCCCCTATAAAAGTTTAAAATTCACCTTATTTACAGCTCCGTGCGGGTCTGCTGGCGCTGGCTCTGCCCCCTTTGTGACATGGCCGATTTTTTAGCCAATCAAATGCTTTCCCACATGGAAAGCATTGGATTGGCTAAAATCAGCACGGGGCGGGGCCAAATGCCATTTTGACCAGTCAGGACCTCCTCATAGAGATGTATTGAATCAATGCATCTCTATGAGGAAAATTCAGCGTCCTAATGCAGAGCGTGGGGACGCTGAATGGCAGGGCTGCTTACTGTGCAGCCCTGAGCCAGGAAGCTCCTCCAGTGGCCATCTAAGGAGTGGGCAATGTAAACACTGCCTTTTCTCTGAAAAGGTAGTGTTTACATAAAAATGCCTGAAGTTGTTCTGGTTACTAGAGTGTCCCTTTAAGGTAAGATGCAGCTGCTGTTCAAATGGTAATCTGGTAGAAAAAAAGTGCAATTTTTATGATTGCTTGGTATCTGTACAGCAAAGCCTAAATTAATTATGGATGTGGTCATCAGCCAATTTGCGATGTCAACCATGATATAGTTTTCGAATAAAGCATGGGAAGGCATTGTGTGGATTTAATTAGTGTTTCATATTATTCTACATTCAACGCACATTTACCCATCCCTACCACCATCTTTGGATCCCACATTTGTTTTACCTATAGATATTTTACTTATGCCCTACTGCTCCCCTTTTTAGATATCAGCCATCTTGGTGATGTGTAGCTTGTTCATGTAAGCTGTCTTAGAAAAGTCAACTATCAAGGAACATTACTTATTGGCCAATCAAATATGATTATCAGGTTC